TCATTGCGCTTTAGTTCCTTCAGCGCGTCTAGGTGCCTTCTTGTTGGCGGGCCATGATCACGGACGCGATGTTTGCGATACTGGTAGCAACAATTCATCAAATAGCACTTGGAGCGTTTAAGATCCGTGTTCGATTAAGCGACTGACCCCTCTGTCTGCTCATATAAGCTTTCAAATTGTAACTCATAATCGAGCTGGTTATCCCTGCCCGTCGATGAGTGAAAAACTCTAAGCCAAGTGATAGGACTTCCATCAAAGTTGCGTCCATATTCAAACTAGGAAAGTTGCGTACATACCTGTACGGCCAGTTTGGAAAAGCGGCAGGCGGCTTAAGCTGGCTTAGCGACTTTGCTAAAGAAGAGCGCGTCCGCAGCACACGGTTGCTAGTGATAGACTTAACATAGCCCAGAAACATTTTCTATTCTTCATCCGAAAAGGTAGCCGTTGCTGTGTGGCGTTGGGCTAACTTTCGCTCATTTTCAGCAATCTTGGACTGCACTGAATTAAGGGTATAGAACGCTTCAAGCGCTATTTGATGTATCGTTGCTACAGGTATCGCAAACATCGCGTCCGTGATCATGGCCCGCCAACAAGAAGGCACCTAGATGTGCTGAAGGAACTAAAGCGCAATGAGCAAATCGTCCTATGCAGATCGGACAAAGGCGCTGGAATCGTGTTACTCGATAGAAAAGATTACATAGATAAACTAACATCAATACTGAGCGATGAGACAAAGTTTTGCGTGCATTGAAGGAGAAACAGACCGAATTGAACAAGTTGAAACACAGATAATTAGATGCTTGCAAGAACTACGGGCGGTTAAAGATGGTTTGGCAGGTTCAGTCGCCAGCATCTCGGCCGATGTGAGCAGTTAGAGCGATAGCGGAGAGAGCGAGCGAAGAATTGTTGAGACATTGATGGTGAATCATGGAAAGCAATTGCTCACCAGATGGTCTTTCGTTCTCGAGACTTAAATGGGAATTTTCAAGTTAATTAATAATCGCCAAAAGGTACCAAAATGTGAGGGTCCACCCAGGGAGTCTCGGGAGCTGAGCTACCAAAAAGATTACTTAACTCGTCATTTCATTGGACCGGCGCCTGCTACACATCTTCTAAAGCTGAGGGGAATTCCAAGTGTGCGAGAACGAATTTATCAAATTGGTGTCAGGAGTAGGAGACGCTCGTGGAGCAATTATGAATGACTGGCGTTATCGGGTTCCGGATTTGGCTACCACTGTGGACTGCATAGGATAGCCACAGGATGCTTGTATCTACAGAGACTTTGGGTAGCTTGCCCTGCACCACCCACAGCTCCATCCACACACCCCATTGTTGTGCGCCAGTGTCGTTGTAGCAAGATGTCGTCGAGCGAAGCCTTAAATGCCAATGTTGTTTCCTCTGTTCTTAACCTCCCGTTTCATCTTTGGTGTTGTTAGAGCAGCCATCTCCCGTACGTGCGTTTACGCAATTCATTTAGGCCCCTCTAACTCGGTCCTCCATCGGCAGTTCTGATCGGACCATCCGACTCGCGACGAGATGTATACAGGTACAACCTCCATCCAGCTCCGACTCTTACTAGGTGGTTGTGGTGTAACTGTTCAGCTGTTTACGAACTATCTCTTGCCTTTCAGCCCCCTCGGCATATTAGGAGCCACATACACCCCGGACATGGTACCCTTCGTATACTTCAACCGGACGCATACTACGCTCATATCCAATGAAAACCAAAAGGAATAAGACCGGGAGACATATATATGAGAGCCAGGTTACAGTAACGGAGCCGTACCACAATCCTTCAACATACACAGCAGCGGCATTCCTGTCGATCTAACTTGGGAATCATGCGTACCAGAGGTACTCACGGCGGCTGGACCTTAGTCCACTCCACATTTGAGTCTAGAACGAAAAAAACGTCTAGGTTAAGCAGATCCAGTTTCAGTGTAAATCTGTGCAGCCAAGCAGCGATAAAGAAGCATGAACCTAAACCTTAGCGTATATATATATATATAGTGTAGATAACGACACCAGCCTGTGTACTCGCTTTTTGTCGATTTCACCAAGGCATTTGATACGGCGAACCGCGAGGCACTGTGGCTGGTGTTGGGAAAGTTCCGCTATTCGCGTAAGTTTGGAAGTTTAACCGAATGACTGCAGAGTGATATGCGAGCGAGGGTGCACCTGAGTGGAGAGACCTCAGATGACTTTGCAGTTATCTGGTGCGAAGCAAGGCTGTGTCTTAGCTCCAGCCCTGCTTGATATTTATCTTCATGAGATAATGTCTTGTGCTTTTGATGCGGCTTGCGCTTACGGTCTTCGTGCAGAGCACCGTATTGTTGGTGGGTTGTTGAACATCTGACGTTTCGGTGAGAGAACCCTAGTCTATGAGACAACTGTCCGTATGTTGCTGTTTGCTGACAACTGTGCGTTGTTCGCACACAGCGCGGATGAGTTGCAGCACATGACTTCGGCCCTGGCTTCGATAGCGGCCAAATTCGGACTCACCATCAACACAAGCAAAACTGTCTGCCTCTTTCAGCCTTCACCGGAGGTGTTATTTGCAATGGTGCCGCGAATAAGCATTGGTGATGAAGTATTGGAAACCACCTGCCGCTTCTGCTACCTTGGGAGTGTAATGTCGACTGACCAGCAGATATACAGTGACCTGCGGATCCGCGTATCGTAGGTAGCGGTGGCATTCGGGAAGCTGGAGAACCGAGTGTGGAACAACCAGAAGATTACCGTTGGCACGAAGGTGATGGTGTACAAATCCATGGTGCTGTCCGTTCCTCTATACGGCAGCGAAACGTGAACGATGCACCGGCGAGATGTGCCATATCTCAAGCGGTTCGATCAACAGCGTTTGCGACGGATTCTGCGCATCGGTTGTTGTGACAGAGTTGCTGACACGGAAGTGTCGCGACGAAGTGGAATGTACGCAGTGGACAGCATATTTTTGCTGAGACACCTGGGGTGGCTCAGTCATGTGTGGCGTATGGATTCGATGCAGCAACCGAAGCAGCTGAGTGTTGGGAAGTGGCATGTGAGGAAAACGAAGCCTCGTTAGCAGGACATGATTAAAGTGAGCCTCAGACGTTCTAATCTTAATTGCAGGTCATGGGAATCTAAGGCGATTGATTTGCATGGCGCGATCTGATCACAAAGGCAGTTGCCGAGGTGCAGGAGAAAGAACTCATGCATGCAGAGAAGCGGCGATTGCGGAAGCGATAGTCTCCGATGGGTTGTACTCCATCGACATCGAGCGCATGGTGCTGTAGCACATGCGGTCGCGTACGCCTGAGTCTGGTAGGCCTACTGAGCCGTGAGCGAGGCCACTCGGGGTCAACACCGAAACGACGGCGGGACCTGCAGAGAAGGTAGGCAGAACCGGCGCAGCGTTTGTAGGTACCTTGCATTCGATTTAGTAACCGCTTGCTTGCAACCTGAGTCACTTTATTTCAGCTGATGGGTTTGCTGTATTGTCTCATTAATGTCTACGTGAACTATCTTCTATTAACTAGCACACGTCGCTCAAGTTAACTGTAGTTAACGTTGATAACATTTTCGCGTTTGTAGCGTTTTCTTAAAATATATTTTCTGACCTCCTAAATTTATCGCAGATTCGTTGGTAAGCAATTTGTTTCACATACTTCTTTATTGAAGAGTTATGTCACCGTATCTGCATGCACTATTCAATTGATTTGATATTGTCGTTTCAAGTGACTGGATGTTGCTTGATATCCCCGGTGTGACTGCGCTTGATGTGCATGTTGACAAGGTGCCTACATGTCAATTATCCACTACCTCGAAAATACAAGCTCCAGGAGACAGTTAGGCGTTGCTGGAGGGGACAGGGTGCACGGTCGTTGTGGCCGTGTTAGGATCAAAGAGTGGTTCCATGCAGTCAGTGTGGAGCGGACTACGGTCCAGCCACCGCCTTGTGTGCGCTTGATTCCCCAAATACAGTGTGCTTGTGTTTGCCTGTGAAGGAGTGTGGGCCGGCTCCGTTGATGAAACGTGGCTCCCATCCACATGCCTCCCGGTCTTATTCCTTCAGGTTTACACTGGATATGAGGTGTGTGGATGGAGCTGTGGGTGGTGTAGTGCAAGCCATCTATGGTCCCTCTGTAGGCGCAGGCGTCCTGTGGCTGGCCACAGTGACAAGCAAATCCGAAACCGGATGCCGTCAACCAATCATACCAATTGAATAGACATAAAGCCAAGTAAAGTCATAAAAAACAATGAAAGATGAGAAGTAGAATCACTGCATTATCATTACAAATTTGCTGAATACGAGCAACGCACTACAGTTGCGATGCCTCAAAAAAAAACTTTTTTGTTATTTTGCGCACGCCGTCTTTTCCTTTTCTTATTGATTTTTCAGCTGTTAGGTTCTATGGGCGTGAATCTGAAAAGGTATGCGCACAGATCTTGGTACAATGGTTTCGACTGCGCGCCACATCCTGAAATGTTTCGAACCAACGGAACCATGTGCAAAACAAGAACCACATAGACCAGATGACCAAATTAATGAGAAATGAATACAAAAAGGCGAGATAGGTTTAATGATGTGGACATGGCATAAAACCTAAACGCCTGCCTAATGCCGTACAGCGCGATCCACTTCTAACAGTCTTCATTGTTTGAATGCACTTAACTTATGACAGCGCGATCAGTGAGTATTATTGTGGTGACTAGTACAGCTCTAGTTCAGGATGATGTGTGATAATCCGAAGGCTTGATTGATTGATGGAGATAACACAGTTTGATTCCGGAACTTTGCTGTTCCCGCGAACCACATTGGCAGCACCTGGATTAAAGTAAGAGGATGGTAATGCCTCAATGTTTGATGATGCTTCAAAGATGCCTATCTGTAGAGGTAGATGTCTAAAAACCCAAAAGAAAGACAACGATGAAGGGTGTAAAACCCAATACACTTAACGGCTAAAGGTAAAAAATTAGAATCATAAAGGTAACAGCTTTTCAGCCCTCGTGGGACTAACCTCAGTTATGCGATGTTTGGAATGAGGGCCCAATAAATCCAGACAGGCCTGCTTAAGGCGTTGATCAGACACAGAAAGAGGTAAGTTGCGAACACATAGACGGACATCGCTGATGAAAATATTTGGGTTTGACAGTTTCGCTTTCTTCGCCCGCATCAAAGCCACCCGCTTAGCCAAATCACTCTCCGATAGACCCTCGGCGGCAGCAGTTCCAGCTCGAATCACTGCGGCAGATAGGAAGAAAGATTTTGATCAAAAAAGACCACGACAAATTAAAAACTAAAGCAAATCAAGTGCTGGGACATGCATGTGCTTCAATGGAATTCATTTAACGGTATCCCGAAAGCGCTGTTTAGCAAGTGTGTACAAGGAGCTTATATGATTTGTTGCTTGCCGAACAATCTCCTCGTGGTGCCAGCTGGGTGGTTCGGGTTTTTCCCGTTCCAGCGAATGGTTCGGCGGCAGTGTTCCAGGACGTGGTGGGTTTTCGCCTGGCAAGCGTTCTGAATATAAAAAGCCACAAATGTCTGTCTAACAACACTGCGACGTGGCGAATGTGACTCGCCAATAAATAAAGTCACGGCTCCTTGCCCCTCCCTGAGAGGCATTGTACTTTAAGGGTGCGTTGGGCCCCTGGTCCTTCACGGACCGAAAGGCGTATGAACCATCTATTTGGTCACCGGCTCCCAACGGGTTGCGACGCCCTCACATCGCCCTGCTGCCTTGTAGGTTAGATCTTTGATCAAAGGCTCGGGGTAGGGCTCCCTAAGACAACCCTCTACTTCGGCCTGGGCAACCGGGTAGTATCACGCCCACTGACGAATCATGGACCACACCGCTTACTACTGCTACTGCTATGCCTATCTTCTGTGCTAACTCAACCACTCAACCTCCACTCACAGATCACTCCACCTCCCGTCTTTCACCCGCATGTACTCTTATGTCTTCTACGGTCACCGTCACAAACGACCCACTCCTCGCAACTGATGGAAGCAACAGCCAAACTCCCGCTTTTCAATGTCCTGTAATCGCAACCGCCTCTCACTCCACCGAAGCTCCAGCTCTTCTTCGAGCTGGTGCTCTGTTCATCCTCGCAGCGTTTAATGCTGGAACTTTGATGCAGATCGGACAACAAGCATGTCTAGCCCGTACTCTTGAAACGCTTTCGGTAGACATCTGTTGCCTTTCAGAGACCAGATTACAAGACTCTAGTGCCGTCATCAGAATGGCCTCTCCCGAAAACCCTGACGCCAAATATTACTTTCGGCTTTCCGGAGACCCAGAAGCTGCCGCCACTCGCCAAGCTGGTGTTGGGGTTGTACTGAGTGCCAGCGCTGAATCAGCTCTGCTTGACTGGATCCCAGTCAACAGTCGGCTATGTGCAGTCAGACTACAAGGTTCATGTAACGTAAGCAGGCGTCGAGACGTTAAGCGTGCCTTGTTTGTCGTCTCCGCCTACGCCCCTAAAGACTGCAGCCCGGATGCAGTTAAAGATGGCTTTTAGCGGCAAGTACATGAACTTCTGCGTTCCTCCAAAAGGACTGATATAGTCATTCTTAATGGGGACTTTAACGCACGGGTTGGCCGCCTTCCACCAAGCTGGCACCACCTTGGGGGTAGCTTTGGTCTCGATGGCAGTCGATCAGACAATAGAGACAGACTGCTTGCTCTTTGCTCTGATCATCGCTTGTTTCTTTCGAGCACTAGTTTTCGGCACTCGAGGAGACACACTGCTACTTGGCGCCCGCCCTCATAAACGCAAAAGTGCTCCCAGCTTGACCACATAGCAATCAGCTACAGATGGCGCGGAAGCGTAACGGACTGCCGATTGTATTGGTCAACTTTCCTAGACTCCGATCAAGCAATGGTTCGTGCTAAGATTTGCATACATTTCGGAGGATCACCTAAGCGCGCTCACCACCGACCGGACATCGCAAATCTACAAAATCCTGCGATTTTAACCAGGTACCAAGCCTTACTGTCAACCTTACTTGGCTCAACTATAAACAGTGATCTCGATTCGCAGTGGGCGCATATCAAACATGCTTTAGTTTCCGCCAGTATCGACACTTGTGGAGTTGCCCGTCACTCACCGAAGCATTGGATTTCCGCCGTCACCTTGTCGCTGATGGACAAACGCCGCTTGATCCCATCGGATTTCAGACAAAGTGAAGAACGCCAATACCTTAGTCGAGAGTTGCGCAGGAGTCTGCAAATGGATAGCGAAGCTTGGTGGTGTGAACGTGCTAGGAAAATGGAGCTTGCTAGTCTCTCTGGTAATACCAGAAAACTTTTCCATCTCACTCAAGTCACCGAAGGTGTTCGATCTGATATAAGTGAAACAATATGCGAGGAGGATAGCACCTTCGTCTTCAACGACAGTTGGAGCAATGGGCCGAACATTTTGGTTCGTAGTTTTGTTGGCCCCCAGCTCCATCTGCTACCTCCGGCGCTCGCGCTGGGGCCGAGTGGTCTACAACCACAGATCCGCCCTCTAACCAAGAAATCGAGCAAGAGCTCAGGCACATGAAGCGTTATAAAGCCCCCGGCCCTGATGGTCTACCTCCAGCTCTATTTAAAGATGGTGGCGCTTCGCTGGTTTGAGGACTCACCACTTTGTTCACGAAAATTTGGTCGAAAGAGGAAGTTCCGTCATCTTGGGGTGAATCGATAATCGTCTCTATCTTCAAAAAGGACCTGCGCACAATCTACTCCAACTATAAAGGAATAAGTTTAGTCCCCGTCGTTTGCAAGCTGCTGGTGTCCATCATACTTCGCAGGTTATCCCCAACACGCGAATCGTTGCAACGAGAAGAACAAGCTAGGTTTCGCCCTGGTTGCGGCTGCATCGATCAAATCTTCACACTCTGCCAGATCCTCGAGCTCCGCCATGTGTATCAGAGGCCAACGATTGCTGTGTTCCTAGATATCCGTGTAGCCTTCGATATTAAGAAGACGATCGAAAATATTGGACACAAAAATAAACGAAGCGGACTCCGCCAGCCAAGTGAAAAGGACAATATCGACGGTATCACATGTGCGTCACGCCAAGGAAATGAGGAAAGCTAGGTATTGGAAGAATATGTGTTGTCCCATCTCGAAGCCTAACCAGTGTGGATGATGGTGATTCGAAACAGGTTGCATTCCATTTGGTTAGATGCGAATTCCTAGCAAGAGTAGTCAAAGAAAAGGGTAACCAAAAGCCTGTGACTGTCATCATTTAACGCATTATTGAGGGTTATATATCAGTTGAAACCCGGTTCGAAAAATGAATTTCCATAAATATGCAGCAAAGCAATAATGTCGGTCTATTGTAGTAAAAGTGCGGAAGGTATGATCCGTGAGTTAAAAAGTAAACTGTTAGCACAGGTACACATATCGTATTACAGTACGCCCAACAAAGAGAAAGCCGCTAGGTAGCAAGAGTAGCTACAATGTCATTATCCCAATGTGTTGAGTGCAGGCTGTAGATCTCCTGAATTTCTGGCCGAAATTCAACCACATTCCAGCGTACTGAAATTCGCCACAAAACCATGGCCACTAGGTTCCTGCTGTCGTGTAAACCTAAATTCTGCACATCGGAAGCAGAGAATTGAGCCGGAACAGTGAGTGAAAGTATCCACAAAGATGGACCGTTGCGATCAGCTCCAATATGCCAAAAATGAGGACACTTATCGCCTTAGAGAGAATAAAGGTCTCAAAGCAGCTACTCACAAGCTTCATTATCAACTTCTCTAAGATGTTCAAGGTCAAAAGGAGCTAAATGGCTAACAGATTACACAAGTTGGAGAAAATCGAGCGACTGTGTGTCGCACTTCATGAGCCATAAGTGCGGAATGACAATGTACTTCAAACCATTTCAGCAAAAGTACCACCGTGGGGAGGGCTAGCATGATGAAAAATGGGATACATTCAGTTTTACAGTTGGCCGAGGTTAACAATGTGCCTACTCAACTGCCAAAAAGTAAAAAGAAGAGGCATCACCAATACGCCGACACACCCTAATGACGCTTTGGTGACACGAAACCACCACCAGTTGCGTTAGGGCTGGGCATTCCGCGAGGCCGTCCGCCCATACGCGGACTCCAACCGGTGACCTCCGGAGTACAATACAGAGGCCTAATCCTTTCGACCACTGGCTGACCCTGCCAAAAGTAGCTCAGATGTTGGTAGAAACAAGTGCTCAATCAATGTACACATTTGCTGTCCATAGTCGACCTGGTCCAAAGGTTGATCCGAGGTAGTGGGTAGGATGTACAGTAGCCGTACTGGTCCAGCTCTGCTAATGCAAGCGGGCTGTAAAGATGATCTAAAACTCCAAAAGAGCAAAGGGCAGCTGAAGCGAAACAGTGTGTCTGACTTCGATGACCTTCTCCATCCGTTGGTAAGTGATCGAACCAAGTTGTTAAGCACTAAGTGGCACAAAGATTGCGGATCCTTTTACCGGCAGTTGTGAGATGTCGCTCTCAAGTATAAAAATGGCCAAAGGAGGCATTGAGATAACCCAAAAATACTAATCATCTAACCTCCATCGTTTCCAAAGCATTCACATGCACTAAGACATGGTGACTCGATGGCTCCAGGAAAACGGAATCAGTGAAGATCAGATCGGTTTCTGTCATGGTGGTTAAAGACCGTAAGGAAAACTGTTGAACAGCTCAACATAGTAGCCAGCAATAGTCACCAGATCGACAAGGAGAAGATGTGCCCACTCGACCGACTCAAGTGAACCGATCGAAGTCTGACATTCGAAGCAGGCAACAATCAATAGGCATTCGGATTTAGCACTGGTTTGCGAGACTCCGCGAATCAGGACTGAATAGCCGCACTGAAGATGTTACCTAGTTTGGCAACGAAACGTCTGCAACAGAAATGCCCGGCTCGGAGAACAGGACAACCCTCTCATCCACACCCCGAGCTACAGGTATTCTCAATAATTTCCATAGTAGATTACCTTGATTTAGATTGCTCATTTTGGAAAAATGTGTCTGGGAAATTATAACACTTTTTGGAATCCCTATACAGCCGGCCTTTTGTACAGTGGCATCAACCCACTTAAGCAGACACCGATCGGTTCTGCCGATGCAACTGCTTCCGCAGCAACAAACAAATTCGTGAATTAAATGTGTTGTGGCAGAGGTCGGTTGGGTAAGCTTGACTAGAGATGTTGATTACTTCTTAGTTGAGACAAGGGGGATAGGTTGACAGCACCGAATGTCCGTCA